AATGATTCTGAGGCCACCCTATCCCAACCATATTATTCACATATCGAGTCCCAACAGCAACAGTGTAGGGATGAGCACGAAATACTGTAAATTAAATGCTGAATGGCGGTTCATGCAGGGAAAGAACATATTAATATTCACATATTCATTCAAAAACATGAAAATTCTTAAAGGAGTATCCTCATTTTTTATTGAATTCCTAAAAAACAATATTTATAATGAATTTTAATAATTTTTTCGAATTTTTTTTAAGCTTTATTTTGACCGATTCACCTGATTTCCGATCCGAATCGCCGATTCGCCGATCCGAATCGGTTTTTTGGAAGCCGGATCCGGATCACCGATCCGTTTTTTAAACCATTGATCGTAACATTGCGGACATCTCATACTGGCAAAAGCCCAATCCAACTGTCCACAAAACAAAACCCTTTTCGTTATTAAAAAGGTTCGCCCTAAACGGAAAAATCACAGGGGCATCGCTGAAACTTGTTGCCAGCACAGGGGCAAGATCTAGTTTCGATATTGTTACAAAGCTCAGGGGTTTTTCTTAGTGATCCTCCTATAAATAGCTCTTGCTCCGATAAACACTGGAAAGCCCTGCCCCACTGGCCAATGCATTCCTCCCCGAAAGCTCATTTTGTTTGTGGGCTTTATTTTGAGAGTTTTAAAAAAACCGATTTTGTGCTATTTTTTTTGCCCTAATTTTGATTAAAAGCGCATTTCTATGGTTTGCCGAACGCTTTGATTTTGATTAAAGTCACGTTTTCTCTGGTTTCCATAACCGCTTTAAAACCAGCAGCTTTTGATCTATTCCTCCTCAAAAATGGGGAAAAATCACGGTCTTTGGTGACATTCTCTGTAGGATTTCATTAGATTAGGGCAGATCAGAACCGCTTTCCTCTGGTTCCAAAAGGTCTTTGAAACAGTTGGATTTGCTTCATTAAACATTAAAAATCGCAGAAAGAGTTTTTAGTAAGGTTTTATCAGATCAGAGAGAAAGAGAGCCACTTGTTTCTGGCTTTTGAAAACCACTCAGGCTAGGTGGTTCTGAGTCAATTAAGTGCCAATATGTTTCAAGTTTCAGGGGAAGGGATGTTAATGGTGACTGCAAGAGCTCCCACAAATATTGCAGTAATTAAATACTGGGGAAAAAGAGATGAGAGCTTGATCCTTCCTATAAATGATAGCATTAGTGTGACTCTTGATCCAGATCACCTATGCACTACAACGACTGTGGCAGTTAGCCCTAATTTTGAGTCTGATCGCATGTGGCTTAATGGAAAGGTACATTTTTCTCACATATTTTTCATTGACATTTTCTTCTAGCTATGAAGATCCATCAATGTACTATTAAACTTGTTGATTTTCCTTGTTTTATGTTCGTTTGAATGTTAGATGTGAATGCTGTTAATCTATCTACTCTCTTATATTAGATGTGAATGCTCTTTTGTATTGTTTCTTATTTTGTGCATGCTATGAAGTATGAGCTGTTTAGTCCCAGCTAAAGAACTTATTTTGTTCGTGCGTGTGCATGTGTGTGTGTTTGAGTGTGCGTGCATGACCTAAACTGATTTTTGAAAGGGAAGAAATACACATGCTCTGCAATTAGACAATCACTTGTTTGTCCTTTTTTTCCCGTATGTTTTTTGGATTTGGTTAATTAATTTGAAGTTATTTGCATTTTAATTATTTTTTATTCAAATGGTTGGGCTGCTCTATTGTGACCTTTATTTGTTGCTTTAATAAATATTAATGCTGTTATAAGATAAAGAAGTAATATTAATGCCCAGCTGTTATATCTTATATTTTTTGGGAAATTTATCATATTACAACCCATTTTTAAACTGTTTAACATTTTACCCTTTTTCTACTATTCCAACTCAAAAAGATGTCTATTTCAATGGAAATTTAGAAATTAAAGCAAAGCGTATGGCTAACTGTTAAATAATTAGTATCCTAGGTGTATTTTGACAAATTTCCCTATTTTTATTACATTTGTAATTTTTCCCCCTGTTTTTTCTTTCTTTCCCCTGATTTTACTGCATTACTTTGTTACTGTTTCATTTGTTAGTGTTTTAATATTTTTTCCATTAAATTTCTCTGACATCTCTCTCATTAATGAATAGAATTTGTTATTTTATTTATTAAAGTTCATATATTATTTTGTTCTCATTAGTGTAATTGTCTAGAATAAAGGCATAGAAGTAGTACAATGAATGAGAGTACAAATCATCTAAACTTTTCATTTGCTGTCTTTCACTCTCATAATTTGTTCGTATTCCACCCCGTGTAATTGGTTTTTAGTTTATTTCTTTATGGAATTTCCAATATTTGTTCTTCTTTATTTTTATTTTTTCCTGGTTAGAGTAGGAGATTTCCCTTTCTGGAGGTAGATACCAGAGCTGTCTCAAGGAAATCAGACAACAAGCCGGAGATGTGATTGATGAGAATAAGGGGATTTGCATTAAGGGAGAAGATTGGCAAAAGTTGCATGTGCATATTGCTTCCTATAATAATTTTCCTACTGCAGCTGGGTTAGCTTCTTCAGCTGCTGGATTTGCATGTTTAGGTAAGAATTGTTACATATTTTTTCACTAGCTAATGGCGGTTTGTATGTGAACCCTGCCTGTTGTATTAATTCTAAACAGAATGTAAACATGGTCCATGAATGTGGACAACATAGTTAATAGTCCAATTGCTACTGCAGTGGTTACAATTGATATTCCTTACTCTTGTCTAGTGCTCTGCATACTCACCATGCTCCACTGATGCATTCTTTTGATAATTTTACGCATTCCTTCTTCCGTCTCTTCAGTTCTGATGTTAGAAGGCTGTCTTTATGTGCATTGGCATCTTTAATCTCCTTAAGATTTCCCACCTCATATTCACATGGTAAGAACTGTTATACTATGATGGATAGATGTAATTGAATTTCTTTGATTGTCTTTTGTGTTCTACATACATGATTGTAATATTCATGCTATATTGCATAGATGCGGTTATGAGTTTCAATGTTAGATATTGAATATGAGGTGTTGGATTGTTTGAGCGTTAAAATTGGACACGTCGAGCTATTTATGTGTGTGCCTACACAAATACACATATAGATGCACATGCACAGGCATAGGCCCACACACGCACGCACACTCAAACACATACATATAAACGTATATATAAAGCTAACAATAGATCTGGACCGAAAATGAATAGTAGTTTAGGTCATGCTCCTAATCGTCAAATCTTTATCAGATGGTTAAAAATGCGTGTTACAACTTGAATTTTAATCTTTTTTCTACAAATCGAATCAAGATGAACTTTTGTACACACAAGAAGAAATATAAAACAAATATTTTTAAAAATCTAAAATGACCAAACAACCCTTGCAGAATGATGGGGGTAATTTGGTCATTTTAAAGTTTTGAATTTAGTTTTTTAATATTTTCATGTTGTGTGTGATGGTATCAAGTATACACCTAAAATTTCAGCTCAAACCGATTTCAAAAAAAAAAAAAAAAAAAAAAAAATAAAATAAATAATAATTCAAATAGTGACATTTGTTTTCAACCATCCAATCTAGATCTAATGGGTAGGAGCATGACCTAATCTACTGTTCATTTTTGTCCCATGCCTATATATATTTATATTTATATTGATTGAAAAAAAAAAAATGCTAATGATTGCAACATTGATGTACTGCTGCCTGCTGCACAAAATCAGAAAGAATCTGATGCACATAATATTCGTACAAGAACAAGCGGAGAATCCAAGATCCAACAAAGTCATAATGAGGATTTTTGAGTATTTGACTAATCTGAAGCTAGGAGATATTAGGTTTACATGGGGTTTGAGATGCATCCCTCCCTTCTCTATGTTTAGGGTTTATATAAAGGAAACCATAATATTGAAATACATAACATAATATTATATTATAAGATTCTTTTGAGAGAAGAATCCCTCACATCATGAGAAGAATGCGGATTTGTCAGATTCCATGTGTCAACATGTCTCATGAATCCTGTGTTCAGGATTCTTTGGAATGGAGAATCCAGTCATGACTATGCCTTACCTGTACCACTATCAGTGTCCCGCCATGTCAAACATGGGTACAGCACTTAGGTGGAAGAATCCATGCAACTTAGCACTCATGTATGCATAATGTGTGAATTAGTATGCTACATCGTGATATTAGAAATCTGAGGCCGACCATGATGTAATTTCATCGTTGGCTGCTTGGCATGCACTATATTTTACACTTTGGAGTTAATGAAATACAATTCATAATCTTTAGATTGATACGAAACAAAATTGCTTCCCCAACAGTGATGTGTCCATCCAAATGAAGCAAACCTAGTTGTGCAGAAAATGAACCCCATATACTCTCATACAATTTCATCCACTGTGGTGTTACCACTAGTATGGCGCATATTTTTCATAAAATTTTCAGAGGGTTTCTACTTGTCAAACATTGGTTCTAGATTATTCTTTTGGAGTGGTTATATTTAATGCGCAAGTCTAACTGAGTTTTTGTTCTTCTGCAGTATATGCCCTTTCAAAATTGATGAATGTGAAAGAGCAATATGAGCTTTCAGCAATTGCACGGTTAGTCGTAATATGCTTTCTTGCTTTACCTCACATGCAATGGGAGTGTTACATGAACTCCTTTTGTTGAACTTAATTCTCGGTGTGAGCTTTTTGTCTTGGTCACTGATGTGTGGATATGTAGCATCATGATGGGAATGAAAATAATGGTGAACTTGGTATTTTGTGTATATGATAGCATCATCAATGCAAAAATTTGTTACCAACCTTGATATGGAGGATAACAGTTACGAGGAAATGGATTTCTTAATGTTTTGCATTCACATTGTAGACAAGGTTCTGGAAGTGCTTGTCGAAGTCTTTATGGTGGCTTTGTGAAGTGGGCAATGGGAAATGTAAGAATGAGATCTGTGTTGTATCCTTTTGCTATTAAATAGCTTTCACTATAGAATTTTAATTGTCAAGCTTTGATGCATACTCTTTGTAAATGAAATGATTTCTATGCTCAGGATGTGAACGGAAGTGACAGCATTGCCATTCAACTTGCACGTGAAACACACTGGAGCGATCTTGTAATTCTTATTGCTGTGGTAAGTTCTACATGGCATTCTTTTTAGTGCAATTACTACTTGGCGTTCTGTTTTCTGCTTTTCCTGCACATGGTGATTGAAAATAACTGTTTCTCTGTCTTTGCATAGGTTTCATAACCTCATGTAGGTCCCCCTGAAACTAATGTTCTGTTGTATATATCTAGTGCTTCCTGAGCCTTTGTGCTTTCTTTGTTTAGGCATCATAAAATTTCGCTTGGCAAAATTGTTGGAAATTTATCAAAGTGTACCCGAGAGATGACCTATTTAACATTTTACCTGTTTGTTTTGATTTGGTTTCAAAAATATCATCAAAATACAGATGATTGTGAGTTGGAACAGATGGAAATGGTTAATGAAAACAGTTCATAAGTGTATTTTGATAAATTCCCCCAAATTTTTAAATGTTGACACGGTCCTTGCTAAAAAATTCACTAAATGAATTCTGTTATTCAGTTTTACTTTTTTTTCCCCCACCTTTCAAGTGGATCCTTGATGCTGGTAAACAAAAATTGAAACTCATATTTGGTTTTAGTTCTTTTCATCTTGTAACTCATCATACCTTGTAGTAATTGAGGTTATGATGTGGTAATGCTGTGCTAATTCAGAAAAGCAGTGTATCGATTAAATTTCCTGTGGCTGGATGTTGTAAAAGCCAGGGGTCCAGGCCGCCTAAATGGCGCCTTGCCCGCCTAAATGGTGCCTTGCCCGCCTAGGTGAGGGCCTCATGTGTTAGGTGGGCAACGGGGTGTTGGGGGTTGGTTTAATTTAAATATATAGTATGATATACATATAAGGGGTTGGGAAAGTTAGAGAGATAAAAGGAGGAGGGTCAAGACTCTCTCTATAATATTTGAATACTATGTGATATGTTAATCAATATTAAAAAATGCCGATTCGGCTGCCTAGGTGGTTTGGGTGCCTGGTCGCCTAGGCGTTCGGGCGCCTACCTAGACGCAGGGTGCCCTCACCAAAATTGAACCCTTCCCCCCCACCCCAAACAAAAAAAAACAGGGGAGTTCTTAGGACATGGTTTAAAAAAGCCTTGGGGAGTTTTTAGGGTAATTTTAGAGCCCCAAACTCCTCGTGATCGTGAAATAGACGAAAGCATAATAGAATACTACAATCACATAACAGAGTTACCGATGGTACAAGTCTCAAAGAGATTGTAACTTGTAAGGTGTAAAGACATTAAAATTCTGGAAATCCCAAATGTCATTGTAGGAAACTCGAAGTCTAGACTAGAAACGATACTCAAAGTCAACAAAGCAAAATAAAAAAACAAATACATCAAGATGTGTCCTTAAAATTACAATATGTTAATATTACTTTATAATAAGGCTTAGATGAGTATATAAGATCTTAGTTTCACTTTCACATAAAACTTATCCCATTAAGATATCACATAATCAATTATTTATCAAATAAAGTAAAATAAAAATAATAGAATATCAAAACGTGACACATTGTACAAAAAAGGAATCAACTATTCATAAGAGAATATAATATATGCTCAATTTCATCATCCGAATGAGAAAAAAATTCAATTAATAAAAAAAATCAATCTTTTTACTACAAAAGTAAAAAGAAAAAACATGTAAATATATCATAAAAGAAAAAAAACAAAAGTAAAAGAAAAAAACACATGATTCATAACATAATATGTTGTAGCAAAAATCAAAACCCTCTTTCAAATATGATAATACTTTGTAAGGGGGCATTGTTTATAAGCCCATTTTTTGTTACAGGGTTTGTTTGACCTATTTTTTACCAAGAGTCCCATCTAGAGGGTACTCTTGGATCAATCCCTAATTGTAAGCTTTCTCCCTATAGCAATACAAAAGTCAACTTTTCTCAAAAAAAAAAAATGATAATACTTTAAAAATATTAAAATCAAATCAATGTCGGTGCAAACCTCATCTATTGGGTTGCCAAAAGGTCTCAAAAGCAACTATTAGAAGCTCAAAATGCACCCACGAACTATTACCTTTGTTTTGGGAAGAAATCGAAAAAATAAAAAACTTATCGTTGTTTCGATAAATCACAAAAGAGTGGTTTTTGGCGGGTTTTTCTCACCCTAAAAGCCACGGTTTTTGTTTGGGGCTTTAGAATACCCCCCAACCCCTTTATTAGGGAGGAAAAATTACATCTTTTGACCCTCACCGAGGGTTTTTCCACCTGTCCGCAAAGTGTCATGGGGCGGCGCTTAGGCGAGCGTCCAAACAGTAGCGCCTAGGTGGGTGCCCAGAGACAGGGCTCGTAATGACCCTACCCAAACAACGCCTAGGCATTTTTTAAATCTTTTCACCTAGGCAGCCCAGCCGCCTAGGCGGTCTGGCGGCCGAATTTTTGAATATTGATATTAATGTAATAATAACATAGCACCATAATACATTATTAATTTACTATAGTACTATATTACATAGTAATAGTATACAATATATAATATATAGTAATAATTTTGCAAAAACAAAATATATATAATTCTAATTATAATATATGAAGGAAAAAGTTTATATAAGGGTGAGGCCCTAAACAATCAAATTAAGGTGCAGATAAAAAATTCAGTAGATGAGGTTGTTTCGATGCTGAAAAACCTCAATCCGATCATCTCGACCTCAAGATGTATGGACATGAGGGATAATTGTTTCATGTAGAGGAGGGAAGAGTGGTAAGGAAGAACAAGAATCGTTGGTTTCCCCTTGTGGATTGGAGCAAAATCTACAATCTCTACTCTCACACCTCTTCCTTTACTCCCCCCTCTCTTTCACCTGCAGTATTGGGTCAGCCAAACCCCCCTACGGCCTCCTTCGCTTACGTTGCAGCCTCATCCCCCTCGTCTCCCTCCCCCCCTTTGAACTCTGAGTCTTCTCCACCATTCTCTACCCTGCCACATGCACCTCCTCCATGGCCATTCTCCCCCTTTCTTCCATTGATTCTTCCAACTTTGGAAAAAATCTCCTCCCCTCTTAAATCCAAACTTCGCTCCTTGGTTGGTTCCTTCCAGCCCAGAAGAGACGACTTCAGGGCCATTGAGAATGGGGCCAAAAGATCTGGGAAGAACCAAACCTTGGGTGTCGTCGCCTCTCTAATGGTGCTATCTTGTTTACTTTCCCTTTTGAGGAGAGCGCCCGTCGAGCCCTCCAATTTAATCCTCCCCTTCGTTTTAAAGGCGCCCCCTCAACCTTCACACCTGGTCTCCCCTCGTTTTCAAGATGGTGGTTGAAGCTTGCAGTACGCTGGTCGAGATCTATTGGAATCTGTGGAATTTCGCCCCTTAGGCTCTATTCTTCTTCTCTTGGAAGTCTTGGACTCTGGGCTCATCCCACCATCCATCTGGCTAGAGATTGAAGGCTCATTCTTCCTTGTTCAGTTAGCATGGTCCACTGCCTCACTGCTCTCTCTCCCTTTCTCTTCAATTCTTCAGATGATTCCTCTACCCACAGGAAACCCGAACCTTCAGACTGGACTGAAGTCTCTAGCAAGTGCCAGCATTCTCGGCGAAGCCACCAGCCCGGTGGTCGGATTTTTAAACCTTCACGTCAAACGAGGTTTCATACCACTTCCGATCCGTTGCCCTCTTCTGGAAAGTGGCAACCTCGAAGGTCCAAACCAGGCCAGAATCACGGTGCCCACCAGCCGCCCCATACCCTTCCTCTGGCAACTCTGATCGGGCCATCTCAATAGCCCAGCTCCCCTTGTGGGCCTGAGGCGCTCTCTGCCTCGCCACATGGTCTGCCTATTCCAGATGGGGGGAAAGCAGTTGGGTTGGACGTTGACCCAACTTGTCCCCAGCCGCCTGCATTTAATATCAGATGTTGGCTCCTCGGGCCAGGTTAGCCTTCCTTCGTAGACCCGACGACCTTTCTCGGTTGTCGTGTCATCAATTTTGCCTCACTGCCCCTCATCTTCCACCTGCTTCTAGCCACCTGGTCAGTACGGCCCCCTCCAAACTCTACACCCGAGCCCACCCCTCGCTCCCTCTCACCCACGCTGCCGCTATCTTCCATCAATGTTTTAAAAAGCAGATCGCCCAACGCTTGGGTGACCGCTTAGGCGGCCCAGAAAGCTTGGGCCCATTACTCAGGCCTAGGCGGATATCTCTAGGCGCACGAGAACCCGCTTAGGCGCCCGCCCAGGTGGTCGCTTAGGGCCTGCATCCCGCCTAGGGGCGGAAATGCCTCTCGTTGAGGGTATTTTTGAGTATTGTTTTAATACTAAAGGTGCAAAATTGTGGGTTTTAGGTTCATTTGAACCTAAAACCCATTAGAGCCTATTTTAGAAGGAGAAAGACCAAAAAAAAAAAAATTCTACTGGGCTGCCCAGGTTCTTGGTGCCTGCCTAGGCGCTGTGCGGCCCGGACCCCCCTGACCGCCTAGGTGCTGCCTAGCACTTTTTGAAACACTGTCCACCATCCTGCCACCTATACACGTCCCCTCCTTCATCCTTGCCCCAGCGCCCTGCCCTTTGAACTCGTTTGGGGACACTTATCCTCCTACTTCTTATACCACCGTTGAGATCCCCATCCTTTCTCCTCTTCTTCCACTTTCTCCTTCGTCCTCTGTTCCTCTTTCTTCTTCTCATCCTCCTCTCTTGGCCTGTTCCTCTCCTAACCCTTCCACCCCATCCGCCCCTTCGTCTTCTTCTCCCACCCCTCCTTCTTTCCCATGAAATGTACATTCAAAGACACTAATAAATAATTCGAAGGAAATCAAGAATGAAATTTTACCTAGACTTAGTGTGGACCGGCTGCGGATTGCCATTAGACAACCAAAGTCACCACTAGCCCAGTGATACTCTTCACATTGCATATTGATTTTGTCTTGGACATGGTCATCTTGTACAAACCTTGCAAGGACACGAACCAATCCTGTTGTCACCTCTGATTGCTTAGAGGGAGATGCTTGAAAGAAATAATTTGGGTTAAGATAGAAGTCTACTGCATGTAGGGAGCTATAAAGTTGAGATTCCCACCTATCATCACTAATTTCCAGATAAGGTCCATATAAAGATTTCCTGTTCTTAAGCTTACACTATATCCAATTTATAGCCCTATCCATTGGATCATAAAAGTACCCCATTGCAAGCGTCTCCTCACTATTAGCTAGGTGTAAAACTCTTACTAGTGGCTCAGTTACATCTACCACATGCTCTCAATGCTTCCAAAAGAAAGAATCAAAATTATCTCTGATACTAAATTATCTTTGAGACCTCATTCTTGGCTCTCATTTTTGCATGTTGTGATTTCATCCATTCCTCTGAAGTAAACATTTTCCTAAGGGGAGTCTTTGATTTCACCAGGCTTTCTAAACTTAAGGAAGTTGGTGGCAAAGCCTGTAATAGTTGGGCAAACCAACTCCCTTCCACAATAGCGCTTCATCATGCTCAAAACTAATGTATGATTATATATAATTTTTTAACTTTTCTTGCCGACTTTAGGACCTCTAGAATATCCCGAAATCGAAAATGTTTTGGATATTTCTCCGGATTTCCTATATCTTCTAAAATCAAATCCATACAATGGGCAACACATGCTGTCCAATACATGGTTTTGTACTTCGCAGCCAACATTAGTCCAGCTGTCGTGTAATTTGTTGCATTATCAGTTAGGAATTGAACAACATATTGGGGACCAATTATTTTGACAATATCATCAAACAAACCGCAAAGAAGCACAACAGTTTTTGATACATCAAAAACATCCACAGACTTGATAAACATTGTACCCCTTGGGACAATAAACCAAAAAATTGATCAAATTTCAGTTTACTCTATATAGCCACCCATCTTCCATAATAGAACATCCTGATTTTTCCATGACTCCCTATACTCCTAAAAAATCCATTGACCTAATTCACATTCATTTGCAAAAGATTGCACTTTAGGTCATGATAACTTGGCATTTTATAACAAGGACCAATGGTAGCTATTGCATCAACCATGGGTCAGAAATAGTCTGAATTTACCGCATTAAATGGCATAGCAGTATCATACAACTATGACTGCTTGCTCAACAATTTTTTTCGAAGCCATAGCACTTTTTATGCTTGGTTGTGCCCCAGGTGTGGTCTTAGGGCCAAAATAGCCTCTCATTCCTCCCTTCTTTCCAACCCCCGTCTCTACTACCACCTCTCTCATTTCCTCTCCCTCGAACTACATTACTTTGTATAGAAGTAGACATTAGTTCAATCCCTTCATATTCTTCACCTTCTCTATTTGCTTAGAGTCTGTAAGGATTCCCAATGATATCATGAACTCTTTGCCTCTTTTGCTTTTGAGAATTAATTTCATCCAAAGCCTGCTGCATTCGCCATTTAACATCTGCTGCAACTTCCTTACAAGGTGCAACATGACCTTGCACGCCACCAGCAAGATGTTGCTTTAATCGAAATATATCGGATCCTTCAATTAATCTACCACAAAAGTACATATGCATTGGTTACAATCCCCAGAAACCGCCTTAGCATAATCCCATGCAGGGTCTGAGGATCTAGATCTTGCTATCCCTACTGATGAGGTTGATCCAGATCCAGAGCTTGACATGACTCACACAACGCTACAAAGAAATAATTCATGACAATTTCAATTTTCAAGTAAAATATTCTAGAAACTAATAGTTTTATAATATGTTAATAAACTCGACAATGGCAATGAAAAATATAAAAAAAGATATTCATAAACTCAATAGTGGTAATGAAAAAATATATGATAATTCTTCAAAAAATGGTGGGTTGGGTTTGGAGGGAGGGAGGGAGAGAGAGAGAGACACCAAAAGCATTGCTCTCTGATATGCTGTGAGCCACCTATCCAAAATTGAGAAATGAAGTCTGAATGAAATCCTAGGATAAATAATGAATAATGTGATTCGGGGTCTTGCTGCACAAATAGAACAAGATTTAAAAACCAGATGCTACATTTAAAACAAAAGATCTTTAAGATAAAAAATCAGCTTACAAAAAAAGGACAAACAACCATACAAAAATTAACAACTAAACATTCACAAAAAAAAAGATTAACAACTAGATTAATAATAAAAGAAAACACTAACAAATAGAAAAATCAGTGTAAGAGAACTAGAGAAGCACACAACATCTATTTATAATATAAAAACAAAAAATTATACAAGATGCGCAAACTTAATAAAGATACATACATGCCTTAGAAGTAGATTAAGCACATCAATTTAAAGTATTTCTCAGTGATGAAAACATCAAAAAGAGAAGTCTAAAATTTGGGCATGGTGTGGGAAAATCCAAAATTAGGGCACATTTTGGGAATACCCAAATACCCAATATTAGGGCACAATGTCGAGAGGGATAATTTTCAGTCATGGAAAATTTTGGGCACCATGTGCTTCTTTGGGAACCCAAAATTTTGCACCGTTAGGGTCTTGGGAAGCCCAAATTTAGGGAACAACTATAGTGCACAGGTCTTAGGAAGAGAGAGAGAGAGAGAGGAGAGAGAGAGAGAGAGAGTAGTTATGCTCGAGGTACTTGAGAGAGAGAGAGAGAGAGAGAGAGAGAGTAGTAGTCG